TATCCAAGATTCGATGAAATTTAAAACAAAAAGTGTGAAAAATAGCAGATTAAGACGGCAATTTTTTCGGATCTTTTATACGATTAGCTCAGAACCTTCAATCACTGAAAATTGTTTAAAAGTTCATAACTTATTGAAATATTTTTTTTCTTTGATCTCTGGAGAACGTATGTTAAAAGAAAAGTCTTGGACAAACTTTCATATGTTTTTCTCTCGGGGAATTATGAAAAAAAAATTAATTACGATTCAAACTGATATATTTACATACCTTTTCCAACATACCAATAAACTGCTAAGTTATTTACCACATCATCCTTTCTATCCTTCTTTAACTCCTTAAATAAACTTCGTACTACATGTTCGTTTGTTCCACCTTGAAATGGAAAATATCCTTCAGCTAAATCGTTGAATCCTAAGTCGAGGTATAACTCAACTTTTATACCACGTCTGCATGCTTCAAGAATTGCTTTAATAGCTGATGATGCATTCAATGTTGGACTTTGAATAAAAATGTTTCGTTGTGCATATTTAAATGCTCCGAGCCATGCTGCATTTTGTGGTACTTGCTTTGATTCATGTCCTGGTGTACCTGATGGAAGACGATTAACGAGTGCAATGGGAAATGGCTCATGTGGCTGATGAAATATGAATGGGCAAAAATCAATTGCAAGTAATTCTAAGTCTGGCGATGAGATTTCACTCGACATTGCACAAGGATATTTTGATACACTATTAAAATGTTGTGTTAGTGGCGATTCTTTTTCTTGTTGTAGTGCTTTATGCACTCTCATAACTTGTTCAACAACTTTATGAAATTCTTTAGCTTTCTCAGCTTTACTAACATTTTCTAGTTTATCATGTTCGTAAATGAATTCTGTTTCATCCAAATTTGTATGATTTTGTAATATCTGACGTGCACGAGCTACGGCATACAATGTTTGATTTTTTATAAACTTCGTTGTAGGACTATCATCGCCAAACTGAAAATTGCTTTTATTCCGATTGTCATCTGCAAGTACACGATCTTTCAGACAAGGCAACGGTGGAGTAAATGGATGGGACCACCAGGATATTAAGAAGCAATCATAAAATGAATTTACAATTTGTCCTTCGTAGTGTGACATCATTTCTAAACTGAATAAGAGTAGAATTAGTTTATTTTGATGTAAACCGAGAAACAAATTTGAAACTTGTCCTGTAATTTGAATGTAGTCTCTCTTAAATGAACGTGTCAAAGTTTTAAGAAAAATCAGGAAAGAAGATATGATAACTCGATTTTCTTGCTCTAGTTAGAGCATTTTTATTTGAATGTACATTTTGCCTTATGTAAAAGAATTTGTCCATCTCAAACTGCTTAGAAACTACTCACACTCGAAAACACTTTCATTACAGGTTGAATGGGTCACTTCTTCTGTGTTATTTTTAGGTGTCCATTCCAGATATAATGTAATCTGATGTTTTCTCAATAACTCAAAAACAGTAAAATGTAGAGACATGCGATTTTCAGCAATCGAAAGATGACACTTTAACCTACTTTCACAAGCAAAATTGACTTTCGACAACATTGCGAACAGCGC